CTCTATGCCTGTCTCCTCTCCCCCCAACCCCCATTCTTCTTCTTACAACAGTCCCTTTACCATTTCTTGCAGTATAGGTTTGGTGATAATAAGCTCCATTAGACATTTTTGTCTGCAAAGCTCTTTTTCTTCCATTTTGAATGACAGCCTTGCTGAATATTGTAGTCTTGGAGTCAGTCCCTTGCTTTTCATTATCTTGTATACTTCATGCCACTCCCTTCTGGCTTGAAGTATTTCTATTGAGAAATCAGCTGAGAGCCTATTGGGAACTTCCTTGTAGGTAACTTTCTGTTTCTCTTCCTGCCTTTAAGATTCTTTCTTTGTCTTTAACATTTGCCATTTTAATTATGATGTGTCTAGTTGTGAGTCTTTGGGGGTTCATCTTGTCTGAGACTCTCTGTGTTTGCTGGACTTGTGTAAAACTTCACCAGATTAAGGAAGTTTTCTGTCAGTATTTCTTCACAGGTTTTCTATCCTTTCTCAGACTCCTCTCCTTCTGGTCCCCCTATGATGTGAATGTTGTCCCAAAGCTCCCTTAAAGTCTCCTGCTGCTTTTTTTTTTCTTTTTTTTTCTATTTGATGCTCTAACTGGGTATTTTGTTTTTTTTCTACCTTGTCATCTCACTCACTGATTTGGTCCTCAGCTTCTCCTAACCTACTACTGATTCCTTCCAGGGTATTCTTTATTTCTGATTGATTCTTCTTCATAGCTTCTACCTCTTTTTTCATGCTCATGTAGTTCCCACTGAGTTCTTCACAGTTCTCATTAAGTTGCCTGTAGTTCTCACTAGGTTGTTTGAGTACTCTTAAAACCATTCATTTGAATTCTTTTTTTAAATCCTCACCTGAGGATATTTTTCCACTGATTTTTTTTAGCTAGAGAGGAAAGAGGGAGTGACGGGAGGGCAAGAGGGAGAGAAACATGTGAGAGACACACATTGATTGGTTGCCTCCCACACGACCCCAACTGGGGCCAGGATTGACCCTGCAACCCAGGTATGTGCCCTTGACCGAGAATAAAATCCATGACCCTTTGGTCCAAAGGCCAACACTCCAACCATTGAGCCAAGCTGACCTGCTATTTTTAAAAACCTCTTGTCCCATTAGTGATATAAATCCACAGAAATTCTTGCTGAACTCGGAACTATATGATATAATGGGCTCTTCCTGGTTCATGACATAGAGAGAGAGATGTGTTTTGTATTATCCTTTATATCCTTTTGCATGTTAGAATTATTACATAATGTTTTTAAAAGTCAGTAAGTAGAAAAGTCAAAAGAGGAAGATAAATATATATGGTACAGTTCTGATTACACAAATATGAATATCTTGGCATTAATGCAAATCAGTATTTGTGTATCTACTCATTAACAAAAAAATCACGATTCACATCAAACTCGTGCGCCACACAATGACTACTACTCTCAAGATTCCACACACACACACACAACATGTTAGAATAAACAAATTCAGCAAAGTTGCAGGATACAAAACCAATACAGAAAAATAAGTTGCATATCTGGGAAAAGGAAACAAAAAAATAAATCCATGTATAGTAGCATGAGAAAGAATAAAATATTTAGAATTAAGTAGGTCAAATACATGTATCTTGAAAACAACAAAACATTGCTGAAGATTAAAGACACAAATAAATGGAAAGATATTCTATGTTCATGGACTGAAAGACTTAGTATTTTTAAGATTACCTAAAGTAATCTGTATTTTCATTGCAACCCTTAAGAAAATCTTAAAGTTTTATTACAAAAATAGAAAAATCCATCATTAAATTTCATATGGAATTTCAAGGAACCCTCAATAGCTAATACAATATTTAAAAAGAAGAACAAAATTTAAGAACTTGCACTTTCTGACTTCAAAACTCACTACAAAAGTATGGTAACAATAACAGTATGACAGTGGCATAAAGACAGATGTACAGAACAATGAAATAAAAATGGAGCCCAGAAAACAACCCTCACATAAATGATTTTCAACAAGGGTGTCAAGACTATTCCTTGGGAAAAGTACAGTCTTTTCAACAAATGGTGCTGGGAAAACTGGACATCCACATAAAAAGAAATGGAGATAGATCTTTATTTATGCCATGTTCAAAAATTAACTTAAAAGAGATTAAAAACCTAACCATAGGAGCTAAAACTATAAAATTCTAACAAGAAAACATACGGGGAAAAACCCCTGATTTGGCAATTATTTCTTGGATATGACACCACAAGCACAGGCAACAAAGGAAAAAAAGAGATAAAATGGACTTCATCAAAATTTAAAACTTTTGTGCTTTAAAGGACACTATCAAGTGAGTGAAGAGTTGGCCCATGGGATGGGAGAACATATTTGCAAACATGTGTCTGAAAACAGATTAATATCCAGAGTATATAAAGAACTGTTACAACTCAACAACAAAACACCCAATTCAAAAGTAAGCAAAGGACTTACATTTCTTCAAAGAAGATATAGACATCCCAAGAAACACATGAAAAAATGCTCAATATCACTAATCACTAGGCAAAGGCAAATCAAACTACAATGAGATACCACGTCACATCCATTAGTAGGGCAGTTATTTAAAAAAGAAAGAAAGAAAATAAGTGTTGGTAAGGATATGGAGAAATCAGAACCCTTGTGTATTGCTGTTGGGGATGGTGCAGCAGCTGTGAAAAACAGTAACATAAAATCACCAAATTAAAATTGGTAAAAACGTAACATAAAAAAATTAAACAGAAAATTACAGTATGGCCCAGCAATTCCACTTATAGGTATATACCCAAAAGAAATGAAAGCAGAGACTCAGAAATAATTTGTACACCAATGTTCACAGCAGCACTATTCCTAGTAGCCTCAAGGTGTTAACAACTCATGTGTCCAGCAACATTTAGATGGATAAATAAACAAAATTTAGTATTACACATACAATGGAATAGTATTCAATCTTAAAAAGAAATGAAAATCTGATAACATGCTACACCTTAGACAAACCCTAAAAACATTATGCTAAGTGAAATATGTCAGACACAAAAGAACAAGTATTATTAAATTCCACTTAAAGGTACCCAATCAAATTCATAGAGACAGAAAGTAGACTGGTGATTGCTAGGGGCTAAGAAGGAGAGAGAAATGGGGAGTTATTGTTTAATGGGTAGTTTCAATTTGGGATGATGAAAGAATTCAGAAGATGGACAGGAGATGGTTGTGTGACAATGTAAATGTAGTTAATGCCATTGATCTTTAATCATTAGGATAAAAATATGTTACACACATTTTACACAATAAAAAAAGGTAAACAAAAATAAAAGAAGAAATTAGGTAGAATTTTTTGTTGGCCAACTGAAAAACTATGGTTTGGTGAGAGCAATAAGAAGTTTGTAAAGCACTGGTCAGTGTGGCTCAGCGGTTATAGCGTAGGCCCTCGAACCATAGGGTCAAGGGTTTGATTCCCAGTCAAGGACACATGTACCTGGGTTGCAATTTCGATCTCAGGCCTTGGTTGGGGTCGTGCAGGAGGCAACCAATTGATGTATCTCTCTCACATCAATGTTTCTCTGTCCCCCCCTCCCCTCTCTCCCCCCTCCCCTCTCTCCCCCCTCTCCTCTCTCCCCCCTCTCCCTCTCTCCCTTCTCCCTCCCTCCCTCCCACTCTATCTAAATTCTATCTAAATCAGTGGAGAAATACCCTTGGATGAGGATTAACCAAATATATAATACACACACACACAAATAGTTATTTCTTTACTTACAAATAGTCATCTCAAATGGTTAATTCTTTATTTGCACTAATGACCGTAGTATGGGTTACTCCCAGGTAATAAATTAAACCATGCAAATTAAGCAATAATAAATAATATACTAACATTTCAACCTAAATTTTGGTAACTGAAAATACTTAATATTTTTAGCATTAGAGATATTCAATCCTAATGTTGAAAAGTAAATAAGCTAACTGATTCTCATCAACTTCATAAAGAGTTTTAGTATAGTTTTTAGTAATATCCACATGCATCAATTTCTAAACTTTACGTACGTAAAAATATCACCCAGAAATATAGATTTTTTCCAAAATGACATCTATCAAAACTAATTTATTGCCATTTTAATAGTTTTGGAAACATGGGAAAATACAGTTCAGATTTCATTCCTTTTGTTAATGTAAAATTATCAACAGACTACAAAATGGATGCAGGTAAGTCAACCCTATATGGAGCAGAATAAACAGCCATGCTAACAATTCAATCTGGAGGAGTTCTTTAAGAAATCTATAGTGCTGAATGAAAATGCCTACCAGCAGAATCATCCCTTTAGATTATTGTATATTTTTTAAAAATATTTTTTCTTTATTGATTTTAGAGAGAGGAAGGGAGAGGGAAAGAGAGACAGAAACATCAATTAGAGAGATCATCGATCAGATCAGCAGCCTCCTGCATGCCCTCCCTCCCCCCACTGGGGATCAGGCCCACAACCTAGGCATGTGCCCTGACAGGGAATTGAACCAGTGACTTTTTGGTGCATGGGTCAACGTTCAACCACTGAGCCACACCGGCCGGGCTGTATTTTTTTTAAAAATGTTTTCTTTTAATTGATTATTTATAGAGAGAGGATGGAAAAGAGATAGAAACATGGATTGGCTGCCTCCTGCACACCCCTCATTGGGGATCAAGTCCACAATCTGGACATGTACCATGACTGGGAATCGAACAGGGACCTCTCAGTCCATGGGATGTTGCTCAATCCACTGAGCCACACTGGCCAGGCTAGGTTATTATAGTATTTCCAGAACATATTTGTCAAAATGTAAATGTCCACTAGGAAGAAGGGATTATATGTATAAAAAAAAAGTTAATAACTTTTTTAAATCTAAGGAGCACAATACACTCAGTAAATATTAACTGGTAATTAAAAATAGAATATTTAGATTCACTCCTTCAAGGAAAACAGATTACATAGTGATCAAGTACTAAAAACATATATATTCAAAGTAATGACACTTACCTCTAAAATCTGACTAGCTCTAGACAGTGAGTGACCATCAGCCTGGACCACTGTTACCTGACTGGGAGACTGTGACAGAATGCTGGAAACACTAGCAGAAGTCTAAAAACAAGTAAAAAACAAAGGCACATTTTCTTCATCTTACATAAAACATAGGCAAAATTTAAACATCACCAAAGCAAGACCTGAGGGACACCTGGTAAGAACTTACGTTTGATTTGATAACCTTACAGTAGATAACCACATAATCAGTGGTAGAATTTTGGAGTCATGTAGAAAATTGCAGAGTTCTTTTATGGGAGCCTAAAGATGTTGTCTGGGGCTGCTACACTCACCTATTAATATAGCAAGACAATTTACAGACTGCAAACAGAGACTAATTGAGGTCATAATTAAATTCAAAATAACACTGTTTTTAAATATCATATAAAAAGTTAAGTTTTTAAAAAAAAAAATATGCCCAGCTAGTATGGCTCACTGGTTGAGCATCAACCCATGCACCAAGAGGTCGCCGGTTCAATTCCTGGCCAGGATACATACCCAGATTGTGGGCCCAATCTCCAGTGGGGGACATGCAGGAGGCGGCCAAGTGATGTTCTCCCTATTGATGTTTCTATCTCTCTCTCCCTCTCCCTTCCTCTCTCTCTAAAAAAATAAAGAAAAAAATTTAGAAAAAATAAAAATGTTTTAAATATTTAATATATTTATTTAAAAATAAACAAATATGTCAAAGCAGAGAGAGTGACTGGATGAAAGGGGGTGAAAGGATTCGCCAAAGAACATACATGCATAGCTCATGGACATAAACAGCGGTGTGGTGCTGGCCAGATTGGGAGGGAGGAAGGTGGGCAAAGGGAAGGGAAATGGGAACATCTGTAATATTGTAAACAATAAAAATAAAGTAAAAAAATAATAATAAAGTGTACCTTTAGTAAATATAAATATGCATTAAAAATAAGGTTTATGACATGAACATGGCTTAACATTAAAACAATGCAATTAAGATGTATTACATTTCGCCCGGCCGGTGTGGCTCAGTGGTTGTGTGTCGACCCATGCACCAAGAGGCCAGAGGTCACCAGTTCAATTCCCAGTCAGGGCACATGACCAGGTTGTGGGCCAAATCCCCAGTGAGGGGCATGCAGGAAGCAGCCAATTGAGGATCCCTCTCATCAGTGTTTCTCTCTCTCTCCCTCTCTAAAATCAATAAAGAAAAAAAAAAAAGATGTATTACATTTCATAAATGTTTGATGTTTGATTTTGATACTCTTACCTTACACTGGTCAAGAATTTGAAGTTTTTCCCATACTATTTTATCACTTTCAGATTTTTTCCAAGGATTATTCCATTTTTCAGGAGCTTCTTTTTCTTTCTTCTTTAAAGCAACCTGTTCATCTGTAAATAATGTCCTTTTTAAAAAAAATGTACAATAACTGTAAAAAAAAAGTCACGTAAACAAATCATGACCTTCTTCAAGAGTGCAGATTCCAACACAGGTTAAAACTGTTTTGTAAGGAGGAGATTAACTCATATAACAGAGAATTTTAAGGGATATGGAATAAAAGAAAACATTTAATCAGAACCAAATTTAAGTATGCCACAAATGGATGCAATAATGTTGGTTTTATTACAATTATCAATAAACAGATTTTTTCAGAACAACATAGTTTATATTATGCTAACTATTCTGAGGTTCTACCTTTTTTTTTTTTTTTAATAACATTCATTCAATTATTACTAAGAGACTTAAAAGTAAGAACTCTGGATTAAGAGAACCGTGGGAGTCAAATCCAAGTTCAACCACTTCCCAGCTATGTGACTATGGGTGAACTGTTGTTCACTTCTCTTCTGTAAAAAGAGAGTAATAATAATGCCTATTTCAGTATAGGGCCTAGCACAAAATAAATATTTAATAAATGTCAGCATTATTCTTAACTGTGAAAAAATAAAGAACATAAAACCTTGTGTCTAACAGACCAATATAAAAAAAACAAGGCCTAAAATCAATAGTTCTTAAAACTTCAGAGATACACAAATCTAAATTCCAAGGAAAGTAATGAAATCATAACTTTAACAAAGAAAGATGTGCTTTTCTAACAGTATCAAGTAAAAGAAAGTAAATTGTGTTTTTTAATAAAGCATGCGACATTTTAGTCATTTCCAAGTAGTTCCATCTTACTTCAGAAGTTTTGTATTATATTTTGATAAGCTACATTTTATTGAAAGAAAATATTTAAAACTAAAATTATGCTATAACACATATCGCCAAATCTTCTGACTCTGCTGCTAGCCATACATCTAATTTCTTCATTTTTCTGTTACCTTCACTTCCAGTATCATTTCATTCCCTATTTCTTCTGTTTATCTCTTTTTCTAGATCACTTGTCCTAACTCACAGGAGGAGGGGCCCATCTTCATCTTCATGCTCTTAGAACAGTTATTTCTAAGAAGTACAACTGTTATTTCATGTATTTCCAAACTCTGGACCCTAAGTCTGTTCCAAGAAGTAATGGGAGTTTCTTAGTCATTATCAATATTTTAAGACCCTGACAGAAATTATAAATTTTTTATATCTACAGGCTGACAAAAAGCAATAAGCTTGTTTTTGTATAGACTATACTAACTGATATCATACTGGCAATTCTTCATTAGAACATTTTGATTATTTTAAAAAATAAACTCAATTATTTTTAAATAAAACCATCTTTAAACCCATAGGATTTCTGTAATGGAAAAATATGATAATGGATTATGAAGAAATGAGAAAAGTTTAGGAATCTTTGTTTGAGATCCAAGAGCTGCAGAATGATACTGATGACATTAATGCTCACCTCTGGCTTTTGGCTGACACCAAAGAGTGCCATAAAACCTAAGTGAATATGAAACCACAAATCTTATGCATTTATAGAAAACTACTCTAAATGGCAAATGTTATAAAACAAGACTTTTGATAATATTATACTGAAAGATATATTTCATCCTCCATATATATTCTGTAAGCCAACCAAACTATAATAAAGGGTGTTAATAATTACCTACCAAGCTCTTTCCTCCACTGTGCTTTTTTTGCTTCCAACAAACTTCTATCCCGTTCTCTTTCCCCCAAAGTACTGAACATGTCAGCTGGTCTCCATATATTCTCTCTGAGACAAAACACAAAAAATAACAAAGTTTATTATACATTTCTATACAACATACTCCATAAATATTAATAAATGTTTAACTAGCTCTTAGTCTTCAGAGTTAATATTTCACAAGAAAGTCAAGGAAAAGAAAAACCATTTTCGCAAGATATGAGTTACATACATGGCAATTTTCTGCTCAGATGTCTCCTGATTTTTATTTAAAACAGATTTATTTTCATCCTGGATATATGAAACAGCCTCAGTTTTTTGTAGTCCCATAATGTTCTCGTCCTTTGGTTGATTAGGAATACTGTTTAAATTTAGACTGTACTGACCTAGGAGGTAAAATGCATGTTTTAAAATTAACACTAAAATTATGTCTATTACAATACCTTATTTTGGCATACTGCTATACAGTTTAAAAAACACTGCCTTACACATTACCTAACTGCTTCTCAGAGCAATCCTTGCAGTGGATATTATGATTCCCTTTTTGTCAAAAAAGGAAACTGAGCCCCAAAGATTAAATGGTCCAGAGGTATGACCATAGCCATACAAATTCCTGTATCAAATAACAAGCAACAAAAAAAGTAAACCTCCACTTACTCCTGCCAACAACACTTTTACAATATAATGAAAACACAATTCACAATTTTATTGAGAATAAAAGCAAATAGCTTTATGAAAATTTCACTACCTGTCCTAATTTTTCTCATTTAGCTGGGAAATCAGTGAAAAACTATCGTGGACCACTGTCTCTATGCCACAGCTATTATCTATTCCAAGTATTTTATATAAGGCTATAAGCTTGGCTCAAAAGTTATTCTAATTGCTCCTTAATGTGTTAGTTACTCTAGTGAAGAGAAAAGCATATCTAATATGTAGGTCATATGATAAGGCAAATTCTGTTTTTAACTTTGTTGACAGTCTCTCTTATTATCCTAAGTTTTTACTTTTTGTTCTCTGAGCTAGACTTCTAGATTTAAAGACAAAATCTAGCTCCATCATTTTACAAAGAATATAAGAGAAGGTAAATGACTCCATCTCAGCACCTTGGGAGTATATAGGAGCTACCCAGTCTCCAAACCAGTTGTGGGCCCTCTTCCTGGTGACTGTTACTTTTATTTTTATTTATGTCAATATTGCCTCACAAAATGTTAATAATAGTTCTACTCATATTCACAATTCCTTTGAAACAAGAAGGCTTTTAAAAACATAATATGATTATGACTAGTGAAACAGAAGGCATGTAACATTCTACTACTCCTTCCAAGTCTATGTTTTAAAAAGATAGGCTGCCAATCCTTAGCATGGATTGAGAGTTAGGAAAAGCAAAATGTGGGGGCCAGGAAAATCAACATTTTTCAGCAAGCAAGTCAAATTTTCATAGTAAGGTTCTTTCAATTTTTGCTAGAAGTACTACAGTGGTTTTTTAGAACATGTAACATAATTATTTTTAAAGTAAGTCCCCTTCATTCTAAAATAAGTACAATACTGTTTGTGTTATCTTTTCTAGAGTTCACAGAAAACTAGATTTCTTAAGGCTATGGTATATGAGAATAATATTCTGGGCATTAACCTTAAATATGGCATATTATAGTTATAAAAGTAATTCTGCATATGAATGTTCTTTAAAAAACTATTTTTAAAAATTGTTACATCTTAAAATAGAATTTAAGAGGCAGTTATGTAAAATCCAATAAACCTGAAATTCTAAAACACTTTATATCAATAAAATTAATATTAATTAAAACTTTAGAAAGTCTTACTTTTTTCTTTTTCATTTCCATTCTCAGTCAGAAAAACAGATCTATTTCCTTGGTTTACAGTCATCAAAATCTGTTGTAGTTGGTCTTGTGTTAGACACACCAAACTACTCTTCATATTTTCACCTGTGATGTGTTTTTTGCAAGGCTTCTGTTTTGCTACTACAGATGTATTTATGGTATTTCTAGTCTTCTGTATATTAGGGGTTGCAGGTGAAATCTCTTTCTGGATATGAAGACAGTCTTTATCAGCATACTGCTTGCATAAATCCTTAGCCATACTATTTTTTTCACCTTTTGCCAGTGAAGTTTCTGAACCAATTCTCTTCTTTTGCAAAAGTTTTTCACTCCTGATGCAAGTATTTTGTGTTGATTTTAGAATGTATCCAGTTTGTTTTGTTCTTAAAGTACATTTTCCAATCTTGGTCTTATTTCCCATCTGTTAAGACACCAAAAAATGTGTTCTTTATAATAGCCTATGAAAAATCAACAATTATTTTTATATAATCTGTGATAAACCAGGCCTCTAAAATATTTCCCATTTTGCTAATACATATCCATAAGAAACTAACATTTAACCTTTGAAAATCTTCAATTGAAAGCTTTATCAACTGGAAACTATTATTTTATTCAGGCTAATGAAGAATACAGAAGAACATTTATTCTAGTTGTTATGGGACATCTCATTCTACTTCAGCACTGAATCTCATGTCATGATTACACCACCGCACTATCCTTAGCCATGCTATTGTTTTCACCTTTTGCTAGTGAAGTTTCTGAACCAATTCTCTTTTTTCAAAAGTTTTTCACTCCTGATACACGTATTTTGTGTTGATTTTAGAATTATAGGCAATTATAGACCCTTAGGTTACTAGCCCTTATTCCTTGAATAACAGCCTGTGGGTCATCATCCCTCTAACATAACTCCTGCCTTAATTATCATTGCTTTCATATACACATAGATCATTCTTCCAATATTCTAGTCTCTCATGTCCTTGAACTCTGCTCCTATACTCGTCCTTCATGCTACCTCAGTTACTCATTTCCATTGTAATATCTTATACTGATCTTGTACTACTCATAACTGCAATCCCTCTAAAATCTCAATTTCAAGTACCTCCTATTTCTTCCAGCTTAACTTTCTTGCATATACCAACAATTCTCTAACTCTGCTGGGATCTAGATCTATAATCTGTTGATCCTACCACCTTCCTCTTGTTCTTGCATCTCTCCTTACCAATCTAAAATTCCACGATCAACCAAAATCATCACTGTCTTCCATTCTCAACTCCTCTGCTCTGTGTCACAAACACTTGACAAATTCCAAACCTGGTAAAATCTAACTTTTCACCTAATCTGTGCCTCCATACAAGGAGAAAAACACAGTCACAACATCTGGTTTCCTCTTAAATACATATCCAAGAACAACAAATGGGCTCTTCATGCTACCTGGCAGTCACACATTTCCAAAGTTCATATACTCTCTCTCTCAGCAACAATCTCAACTTTCTCTTAGCTCCTAAGACTTTCTTTCATACTCATTCTCAACTGAAGACCTTAATTAATATTTCACTGAAAATCTTACAATGAAGCATTTAGAAAAAAACTTCATTTCTATGACCAAATTTACTGTATACTAGCATCTGTACTCATACAAACTGCTTGTCCTCCTGTTACTCATACACATTCCCATAATCCTCTTTCTCAAGGATCTCTCTCTAGCAATCCTTTGCTTTGTCCTGAATCACCACCATTTCTTCTCTGCTGGTTCATCTTTTTTACCATCTTAAAAAATTCTTGATCCCACTTTCTCATCTCCTATAATCGCATTCCAACCAAGCTTTCATCCAACCACCCTACCAAAACTGCTCATCATGCCTTGGCCGGTTTGGCTCAGCGGTTGGAGTGGCAGCCTGCGGACCAGAGAGTCCGGGGTTCAGTTCCCGCGAAGGGCATGTACCAAAAATAACAAAAAACAAAAAAAACTGCTCATCAAAGTCACTAATAATTTGTACATTGCTAAATTCAATGACCAATCCTCAAATTCTCATCTTACTAGACCTCTTAGCAGCATTTGATACACCTGATTATTCCTTCCATTTTGAAACACTTTCTCTACTTTACTTACAGGACTCCACAAACCTGGTTCTTCTTGCTGCACTCCTCAGTCTTTAGTGGCTCCTCCTTTTCTCTCAGACCTCTTAAAAGTTGGAATGCCTAGGACTCAGTCCCAAGATCTATTTCTTAAATTCTCTCATTCACTTGGTAATTTCATTTACTTTTGTGGCTCTATATATTATGCATATAATGACGACCCCCAAACTTGTCTCCAGGATGGGTCTCTCCCCTAAATTCAGGTTCCATCTGTCTATCCAACACTTCCATTGAGTTTCTAATAGACACTTCAAACTCAGCATGTCCAAAACTAAACGCCTGATCTCCCTCTTGCCCCTAAAAAAACTTCCTCCCCTTAGTCTTTCCCATTTTTTTTAATCCTCACTCAAGGACACTTTACCATTTTTTATTCAGATACAGCGGGAGAGAGAGGAAGAAAGAGAGAAACATCGACGTGAAAGGGACACATTGAGTGGCTGCCACCTGCACGACCCAACCAGGGCCGGGGACAAAATGCAACCGAAGTACATGCCCTTAGCAGGAACCAAACCCGGGTCTCTCTGGACTGCAGACCGATGTTCTAACCGCTGAGCCAAACTGGCCAGGGCAGTCTTTCCCATCTTGCTCATGCCAAAAATTTTGGAATTATTCTTTTGTTTGTTTAAATATTTTATCTATCTTTTTCTTTAGACAGAGCGGGAAGGAGAGAGGGAGAGAGGGAGAGAGACACACACACACACTGAGTGGTTGCCACCCACATGACCCTAATGGGGGCCGGGGACAAACTGCAACAGAGATACGTGCTCTTAGCGGAAACCGAACTCAGGACTCTCTGGTCCATGGGCCAACACTCTATCCACTGAGCCAAACCGGCCAGGGCTGGAATTATTCTTGAATCTTCTTTCATTTCTCATTTAACTTGTTATCAAACCTTATTTTGCTCTGCCTTCAAAATACACCCTGAATTTGACACTACTCTTGAACATCTCTTGCCACCCCTCCACCCCAAACCACTTACCTGTTGCCTAAATAACTGAAAAGCCTTCTAACTGGTTTTCCTGCTTCTACCCTTGCTACTCACACAGCAGTCACAGTGATTACCTTAATATGTTAAATCAGATCATGTCACTTTCTTCAAAAGCTTCCAGTGGCTTCCCATCTCACTAGAAAGAAAAGTTGAACTTCTTAACTCAGACCAAAAAAGACCTAATGATCTGGGCACACTCCCATTTGTCCCCTTTATCTCATCTCTAATCTCATTTCCTCTTAGCCTCCAGCCACCTGGGCTTCTTGGTTTTCCTTAAATTCAACAAGTACCTCCAGTCTTAGTCCTTACCATTAGTCAGTCCCTCTACCTGGGACATTCTTCCTTCAGAGTCCACCTGGCTCATTCACTCATCTCCTTCAAATATGTGCTCCAATATCACCAGCTTAGGAAGGTCTTCTCTGATCACCCTATTTAAAACTGCAGGTTTCCTGCACTACCTTCACTCCTCTACCTCCCTAGCTCCCTTTTCTCAAGGCTGCTGTCCCCCGCATGTGATTTTCCCTTTCTGTTTTCTCTATAGCCTTTTTCTTCTAATAGTCTATATTTATTTTTCTTATTGTCTGCCCATTCTACCCCTTTCCAATGTTGTCTGCTTTGTCCACTGCTATATTCCCAGTACCATAACAACACAGTAGGTGTTCAATAAATTTTGGTTGAATGACTATCCTCAACTATGCCATTTTAAAGACTAAATTCTTTTTTTTTTTTAATCCTCACCCAAGGATATTTTTCCATTGATTTTTAGATATTTAGATAAAGTGGAAGGAAGGGAGAGAAACACTGATGTGAGAGAGACACATCAACTGGTTGCTTCCCACACAACCCCAACCAGGGCCAGGGATCGAACCTGCAACCCAGGCACATGCCCTTGACCAGAAATCAAACCCGTGACCCTTCAGTCCACGGGCTGAAGCTCTAATCATTGAGCAAAACTGGCCAGGACAAAGATTGAATTCTTTCTCTCTTCTCATCTCTCTCCCAGATTAGCTTCTCTTTCCAAAATACCCCATTTCTTTAGCTCTGTAGTTCTAATCTCTCAGCCCAGTAACCATGAAGTCATCTGTGACTCTTTATCCTCCTTTATAGTCTTCTTTAGCTTACCAGCAAGAATTGGTCATTTTTTCCTTCAAAACCTTTTTCTCATCATTTATACAACAATAAGCCTAAATTCAGGTTTTCATTACTAGTTCACAATCTGCCTATCTCAAATCTATCCCATTTAATCCACTGTACATTTCTGTAAACCCAACTAATCTAAAATAATTCAACAATCATTTAATCACTATTAAGTGTTGCTTTTTTTTTTGTTTTTTCCTTTATTGATTTTAGAGAAAGGAAGGGAGAGGGAGAGCAACATAGAAACATTGATGAGAGAGATCATCAATTGGCCGCCTCCTGAATGCCCTTCACTGGGGATTTGGCCCACAACCTGGGTATATGCCCTGCCAGGAATCAAACCAGCGACCTCTTGGTGCATGGGTTGATACTCAAACACTGAGGCACACAGCCCAGCAAGAGTTGCTTTTTATGTGCTCACCACTATGGGGAAAGTGTTGGAGGTGTCAAGTTGAATAAGACAATATTCTTGCCATCAAGGAGGTCAAGGAGATGCAACATGGCTTTCATTGAACTTATCATATCCCAACTTTCCTTGTATTTCAATAAATTACATAATACACAACCACAATTTGACCAATTCACCAATCCCATTTTGCCCTACTTTTCAAAATACACCTGTAGGATCAGCCACAAGATTCCTTTATTACCTTATTCACCTCACCTATACAGTCGGCCCTCGTTTATCACAATTAATCAGTTCCAGACTCTACCTGATAAATGAATTTCCATGAAATAGGGTTCTTTACTTATACAAGTTGTCCCTTGCCACTTCGCGCTGAATGAAACCGCGATAGAGTGAAGCCGCGAAAGTCGAAGCGCGAAGTGGCAAGGGACGACTGTATCCTATTTGTTCCTGGCTTTAGGTTTTTGATAATATCAATACCACATTCTAAAATACTTTTTTACACTCCCATCCCTGTGGTATTTTAATATAACTAATTATATAAACGAGAGGTAGAAAACTCAAATACCTCCTATATTGTAGGCTGGTGGGAACTAGGATAAATTGAAGAGCACTTTTCCACCTAAAGGAGAGATACTACTCAGAACCAAATTACATTGCCAAAAAGAAATGAGTCTATTTACTAAATCATCCAATATTTAGAGAGAACCAAGAATGCCAGATTTTACTTTAAATTTTCCAATTTTTAGACATCGGTAATTCATTCTAGTTTTTGAAAACCACTGTGCAGATTAAACAAATTATCACCAGATTGCACATAGCTTACACAGCTAAGCTCTAACACCTCGGTCAGTCTCCAACTATTACAGCTCCTAGTAATCTCACCATTCTTTGACTTACACTGGCCTTTTTTTGAGTTATTAACGGTTGAACATTTCATTTCTCTAATTAGTGCCTCACTGGAACTGCTAAGAAGTGCAGTCCATCCCCTTAACGTATCTGGAAATGTTTTCATTTTTGTCCCCTTCTTTCCATTCCACTAGCCACCATACAAATTCAGGACCTCAAAAGACTCTCCCTGGACTACTACAATTGACCTTTAACTGATCTCCCTGTTATGATAATCTGTCCTTCACAGAGTTGCCTGAAGCCCGATAACACAAATTGAATCATATCTTAGCCAGATTTAAAAAAAAATTTGTAATGTTCCCTGTATGAAAATCAAATAAATTCTGTGTTCATTTAAACTCTTCATGACAGTAACCCTGCAAAGCTTTATGCTCTACACTTCCCTGAGGTACACCCTATTCCTCAAATGCAAATTATACTTTGTATCTCGTATTTTGCCCACCATTTCCTGTGAACTTGGAATACACTTCCCTACTTCTTTGACTATAAATATCTCCCTCATTTTTTAAGTTCTAATTAAAACGTCACCTCATTTATGAAGCATTCCCTGGTCTTTTCAAACCACAAAGAGCTGCTTTCCAATATTTTCTCCTTTTAATAACCCTACTATAACACCCATTCTATTTTTCTTGTATTATCTAGTTATTTATCTGCCTGATACTCCCACTTCCAGGAAACATGGATTTTACTGTTTTTTCCTTTCTCACAGTCACAGAATAAAGCCAAGAATAGAAGTCTACACATACATTAGAATTTTATAGTAAATTCTTGTTAAAAGAAACCTAGTAATTTAATTAGAACTCTAATTTAATTAGAATTATTTTGCCACAATCCAATTACATCAGAAATAACATACACACAAAAAAGAAACACAAAAGCAAATGCAAAAAATAATATACAGAAAAGATCTTCCAAAATATTTATTTAATAAAGGGGGTGGGGGTGGAAAATGATATGGCACAAGGTCACTTTACATCCAGCTCAACTCTGAATACTTTCTGCAACTTAATGCCAAAGAACAATGAAAAAAGGCAGCAAAAAATCATAAACTACCAAATAAATATTCAATTATATTCAAGTTACTTAATAAGAAAAAAACTCTAGCCCAAATCATTTCCCCAGTGTTTCTGGGATAAGATAAATTTTAATAGCTCAAAAAGAAGGGTCTTTCGGTCATAAACATTTTTATGTAGCATGCTGCTCTTTTAGTTTTAATACTACCATTATTTTCCATACAGTTGTCCCTCGTTTACTGCAGTTAATCCGTTTCACTCTAGCGGTTGCACCTGGCATTGAAGGTTTCTTGAGGTGCTCAAATACATAGGCCTATAGTCCATACATACAGTAATTTTAATTGTAATACAGGGGTGTATAATTGACTCAGACAACCGAGTGCACACTGTATCATTTTGACTCTCAATCAACTTTTTAATGTATTTGAAAAAAGCACGATAGAGTGAAGCCACAAAAGTCGAAGTGCGAGGGACGACTGTATAAAGATAGTGTCCAGTGCAGTTGTTTAATATTGGCTGATCTCACAATTTATGAGGCCAGGATCCCAAGGCCAGAAAGAATCAAAGAAAAGTAACATTAATTTTTTTTAAATTGGTTTTTATTGATTTTTTTAGAGCAAGAGAGGAGAGAGAAACCTCAATCGATCGGCTGCCTCCTGCATTCCCACCACTGGGGATTGAACCAGGACATCTCAGTCTCTGGGAGGACACTCAATCCACTGAGCCACACTGGCTGGGTGAGAAAAGTAACATTTTAAAATATAAAATGTGCTACTTAGCACTAATAATGCATATACCTTTTAGTGTGTCACTACTCTGATTCTCACATGTAGAAATACCTGTAAAATTTCTTTTAATGTTTTATATTTAAAATAATTTGTGAGATACTTTTAAGAATTTGGAATTCATAAATTACTCATGATATTAAGTCATTAATATTTCTTCCATTTCTCTTCCTATATGCTTAAGAAATAAGGCTGGTAACCATCATTACTTCACATTCATTAAAACAGATTAAAAATACAGGAGAGATTTTGATAGAATTAAGAAAGTACTCTGACCACATGTGTTAAACTTGATGATGATGACACAGAGTTCAGCTGTGTTTAAAGAGTACACCATGAAGCCCTGGCCGGTTTGGCTCAGCGGTTAGAGCACCTGCCTGCGGTCCGGAGAGACCCGGGTTCGGTTCCCGCTAAGGGCATGTACCTGGGTTGCAGTTTGTCCCCGGCCCTGGTTGGTCGTGCGGGTGGCAGCCACTCGATGTGTCCCTTTCACATCAATGTTTCTCTCTCTCTCTTCCTCTCTCTCCCTCCCACTCTGTCTGTACAAAAAATGGGAGAATGTCCTCGAGTGAGGAAAAAAAAAGAGTACACCATGAAGATGACAGTAATTCAACTCGTGAGGAAGGGACAAAACAACTTTAGGTAGGTATTGTAAGGTTACTCCAGTGGAAAAAAAAGAAATGCACTATTAAGAGTGAATTAATGGTCCTGGCTGGGTTTGCTCAGTGGTTAGAGCGTCGGCCCACAGACCAATGAGTCTTGGGTTCGATTCCAGTCAAGGGCACATACCTTGGTTGCTGTTTTGTCCCTAGCCCTGGTGGGTCCTGCGGGAGGCAACCAGTTGATGTGTCCCTCCCTCCCTCCCACTCTATCTGAAGATAAATGGAAAAATAGCCTCAGGTGAAGATTAAAAAAAGAGAAAGACTTAATGAATAACTTATAAAAAAATAATTTCGCCCTGGCCGGTTTGGCTCAGCAGTTAGAGCATCGGCCTGCGGTCCTGAGAGACCCGGGTTCGGTTCCCGCTAAGGGCATGTACCTCGGTTGCAGTTTGTTCCCGGCCCTGGTCGGTTGTGCCGGTGGCAGCCACTCGATGTGTTCCCTTCACATCGATGTTTCTCTCTCTCTCTCTCTCTGTTCCTCTCTCTCCCTCCCACTCTACCTGAACAAAAAATGGAAAAATGTCCTCAGGTGAGGATAAAAATAAATAAATAAATAATTTCAACATACAGCTGCAGAATTATGACATTTGAGAGGTTAAAAACTGATTAAAACAAAAAAGGAACATTTGGGATTTTTATCTTCTGCAAAGAAAGAAAAGAGAATTTTAGCAAGCTCTGTAAATAAGGGAAGAGAAGCTCCTGAAATAAAATCAATATAGAAGGAAGACTTAGATTGCATCAGTATTTTTTCCCCAGCTTTACTGAGGTATCACTGACAATTTAAAGATTGTATAGATTTAAGGTATACAACTTGATTTGGCACAGGTATACATTGTGAAATAATCACCACAATCAAGCTAATTACCATCACCTCATATTTACCATTTATCAGTATTTTGGAGTCCCAAAAGCAAGAGGAATAAATCCAAACAAATTGCTTTAAGACAATAAATAATTTAAAATCAACATCATCTGAGGTATATTAGTTCCTCTGGAAAAAAAAAAGTCTATGACTAGTAACTTTATTATAGGCATAAAAGGGTAACTCCAGATGTTCTAAAATGGTTAAAAAGACAATTAAATGTTTCCACAAATGTGGTGTCCATTAATGAAAGAGGGAACATATGAAAGAGACTAGAATCCAGGGGAAAGGTAGAAATCAACTATTACAAGTAATTTTTATCCAGGAGCTTGAAAAGGGGCACACAGTACTTATTAATGTGACTCAAATAAAAATAGCTGCAATAGCACTGGCTGGTGTGGTTCAGTGGATAGAGCATTGGCCTATGCTCCGAAAGGTCATGAGTTTAATTCCCAGTTAAGGACAAGGTCCTGGGTTGTAGGTTCAATCCCCAGCCCTGGTCAGAGCCTGTGTGGGAAGAACCAATTGATGTGTCTCTCTCACATTGATGTTTCTCTGTCTCTCCCTCCCTCCCACTCTATCTGAAGATAAACAGAAAAATATCCACAGATGAGAGTTTAAAAAAAAAAGAAAGAAAGAAAAGAAATGAAAACCACATTTTACATTTGAAAACAGGTCAAGTCAAAGTTATTTGTTTGGCTTACCTTCACAGAAATTTTTGATTTACATTCTACAAAAGAAAAAAAAAATTACTAAACTATCAACTGAAAACATACTAAGGCAATTACGAATTTTTTTAAATTAGCTATGTTTTAAGATATTAAGTAGAAATATTAACCCCAAAAGCAATAACTTTAGGTCCTGAGTGTTGATTTACAGTGTGGTTCAAGTATGTGTATATCATTTTTATTTTCCAAGACAAAACTATAAACAGATCCAAGGAAAAAGAAAATAAGGTGAATGAGAAGACTACCAAATTATACTCTGAGTTTTAAAACTAATACAAAAAATGACTTTAGCAACTGTGGTCTTACTATAATTTAATTTTTTCAAACAATACATTCTTTACACACACAGAACAAGTACATTCTCACCTAGATTATTCATTAGGCAATAAGAATATTTGCTATATACAAATATAATGAAAAGATACATCACATATGAACTATACTGGAAAATTAAATTTTATGAATACTGACAGTAGTAAGCAGTGATGAAATCTGAATTGGCTAAAAATAAATTTGAGAAAGTTAGGGTAAACAGCTTTTTTCAAAGTATCATTTAAAACTACTATTTCTGTACTCTAACACAAGCAAAAAATCTGTTACACTAGTATAAATTTTATGTAGGAATTCAAAAAGTTAACATTTTAGATTCCAATAACACAGCATACCATATGGAGACAATATTAGCTTGGTTTTTCCATCCAATAATTCAGTTTCAAGCTTTAAACCATCTCTGCAAAAGAAAACAGTAAGACACAGCAACATTTTATTTTTCATTCATTCGTTTGTTCAAAACTCCTCACTTAATTTAAAGGAACATATCTAACTACCATTTATTAGTTTCATAATGATCTCATAACTTACACATTCTATGACATGCTAGAGTATTATCTGAAAATGAGTTGTAACATTACCAAGGTTATTTGCTGTTTGAGCACAGAGTTCCACTCTATTTTGAATATTACAATTAATACACATTCACATTTATTGAAAGGTTTATTATCACAACAATAAATCTACAGGGTGGGACAAAAGTAGGTTTACAGTTGTTTGTATGAAAAATATAGTAATTGATAAATAATACAAGAATAAACTGTTCCGCATAATCCCAAATGTAAACCTAATTTTGCCTCACCCTATTTAATAAACTGTGGCTGATATATATATATATATATAAAATTTGTTTTCCTTATTGATTTCAGAGAGGGAGGGAGGGAAGGAGGGAGAGAATCGTGGATGAGAGAGAACATCGATCAGCCGCCGCCTGCACGCCCCCCCTGGGGATTTGGCCCACAACCTGGGCATGTGCCCTGACCGGGAATCACCCAACCGAGCCATGCCTCATGCTATACTTTTTATTTGTGCATGTCAACTCAGAGGGCACAAAGTAACAGCAGACACTGCCAATAAACTTGTGTATCGGTTAGGATCCTAATAAAAACTCCTCTACAGACAAAAAGAGCAGTCCATAAAGTTAATTTGTTTTATTAAAAAAAAAAAAAAAAAAGGGACAAAAGTGACTTGCAAGAGGCACAATTAAATTCGGCGGGCCAGCAGAAAGGTTGGGAAAGGTCTGATTAGGAACACGAAATAGGACGTGTTGCTCGGGTAGGGTTTTAAGGGCTTCATTGCTGCGGAGATCGGGAGTTCGAATTTGGAGGGACCAAAACAAAAACAAAAACAAAAAGCCTTGAATGAAACAGCCAAAAGTCTGTTTAGCAGTACCACACTGTAAGTGTCTGCAGGGGCCGACTGTCTTATTTTTCAATCCCTAGATTCAAGAACATACAATGTACTTGCTAAATGATGTGCGGTACTGACTTTTCACCTGAAAATGTTACACTTCGCAGCGATGAAAACCAGGCAGTCGTCCCTACTCAGGAGGACCCAGCATGGGCCTGGCCCAGGCAACACGGCGATTCCGAGGGGCCTCGGCCCCCGCCGGCCGGGCGCTCACTCCCGTCGGCGCTCGCACGGCCCGCCGACCCCAATGGCAGGGTCGCGGCCTGAGCCCGGCTTTCTCCCCGGGGACAGACCAGGCTTCCTCTCCACCCGCCTCCCCGCTTATCTCCACTCCTCTCCTCCTCCACTCAGAGGTACGTGACCGGGCGGGAAAAGAGGTCATGACAGTTTTAACTCGAGTTACGAAGCCGCAAAGCGAGGGCTGTGGGGGTTCCCAAGGCCGACCCGGACCCCCGCCTACTTCACCTCAGGGAGCCCGCACTGCCTCTGCGGGCGCCGCAGGCCCGGAAGTTTGTCCGCGAAGGAGCCCCCGTGCCGTCCCAGCCTCTCCCCCTCTCGGGTGACGCCCACCTTTCTCGCCCCAGCTTACCCCAAGTTCATGGCCTGACCTCTCGCTCTCTCTCTCCACCAGACGCCCGAGCCCCTTGTGTACGTCGGTTGCCGCCGCGGATCAACAAGCCCGACGCCGATTGGATAAAGAGATGCCGGGAGCTAAGAGAGAGGACCAATCAAGGCTGGGCTTGCTGGTGGGTGCGCTCAACCGGGCGAAGCTGCGGGGGTGATTGGCTTCCTTCGCCAGGCCAGGTGCTTCCAGTCCCGGCGCTTGGATGGCAGAGGCCTTCCCTCCTCGCCCTCGTATCCCCGGCCTGCCCTGCACCACCCCCAGAGTTCAGCCCGTCAGCCCGAGTGGAGGTGGCCAGAATAGGGAGAAACCAAAAGCCTAAACGTTTTAGGGAAGTTAACATTTTCAATGTTTTATATCCGGAAGAGAGGCTTAGTTATAAAATAAGTTAGCGGGGTACTGGGAAGAAACTACTAGGGCTGGTACAGGGCATGTCTTGTTTCTTGCCATGACCTCAGCCCGAAGCCTAGCACGTTGTAGCTCTTTCTAAATAGCGGCAACAGTTAAAAGTGCTCAATAAATCTAGCTCTTACATGCCAAACCTGGCTGGATCTAAGCTCCTGACATCTATTATTTAAGCTTTACAACATGAGTCGAGGCACGGAGAGGTTAAGCAATTTGTCCAAGCAATTTAACCCCAGAGCCCATGATCCAATCTAGTGTTATATGAATCTAACTCCTATTCATCCTTCACATCTCAGTTTAAGCTCCTCTGGATCCCACTGGCAGGTAAATTAGGACCGGGATCTCTGAACTCCCCAGTCGCTGACCTTTCCATCACAATACTCACACCTTTAAGATTCTGTGTCACAGTGAGCTTCAGAGAGGCAGACAGTTGGTGGCATTACCTCTATAGCCGCAGCATCTGGTGCTCAGCAGTATGGACAGTAAACATTTCTTAAATGAATGAACAGCAAAAATAAAAAATGCGACAACTTTGTAAGATTCAACTGAAGTGTATTTCATGATAAGGATGCTCCTAGATTACAATGCAGTTACTAAAGTTCACAGTTTTTTCATCTATCTTATTTTTTTAAATCCTCACCTGAGGATTTATCATCAGATAGAGTGAGAGGGAGGGAAAGAGAGAGAGAGAGAAACATCAATGTGAGAGAGACACATCGCTGTTGATTGCCTCCCGCATGACCCCAACCAGGGCTGGGGCCTGGAAACCCAACCACAACCGAGGGCCTGACCAGAATCAAACTTGCTACTCTTTGGTCCATGGGCCGATGCTGTAACCAATAAGCAAAACTGGCTAGGGCATACATTTTTAATTTTTTACTATAGAAATATCTATAAAAAATTATCCCATTTTAGCCATTTTCAAGTATACAATTCAGTGGCACAGTGTTGTGCAACCATCACCAGTATGTTTTCAAAACTATTTCATTATCCCAAACAGAAACTATATACTCATTAAAAAATAACTCTCCAATCCTCCTTCCCCCGAAACCCCTGGTAACCTCTAATCTTATTTCTGCCTCGTTATGAATCAGTCTAGTCTTGATATTTTATATAAGTGGACTCATATAAGATTTGTCCTTTTGTGTCTGGCTTCTTTCACTTAACATAATGGTCAAGGTTCATCCATGTTGTAGCATATAGCAGAACTTCATTTCTTTTTATGGCCAAATGATATTCCATTGTGTATATATATTTGTTTATCCAGTCTTCTGTTGATGGGCACTTGGGTTGTTTCCACGTTTTAGCTCTTGTGAATAATGCCACAGTGAATGTTGGTGTACAAGTATCTGTTTGAATCCCTGTGTGTTAATCAGGGTTCTCCAAAGAAACAGAACCAATATTGTGTGTGTGTAGAGAAAGAGATTTTTAAAAGAAATATTTTCTTTTTTGTTGTTGTTGTTTTTTTTTATCCTCACCCGAGGACATTTTTCCATTTTTTGTTCAGGTAGAGTGGGAGGGAGAGAGAGGAACAGAGAGAGAGAGAGAAACATCGATGTGAAAGGAACACATCGAGTGGCTGCCACCTGCACAACCGACCAGGGCCGGGGACAAACTGCAACCAAGGTTCGCACCCTTAGCGGGAACTGAACCCGGGTCTCTCAGGACCGCAGGCCGACGCTCTAACCGCTGAACCAAACCGGCCAGGGCAAAAGAAATATTTTCTTTAAAATGACAGTAGGCTTTGAACATTTTTTACTGAAGAAGGGAAGAGAGCTTGTAACTCATTTGGTTCTCTGTAAGTCATTTAGATGTCTGTGGCGCCCCTGAATTTAACTTTCAATTAAGTCAATTTTAAGAGCAATGCAAGACTTTCCTAAGATAATAAATGTATATATCTCGCTCATCACAAAGTAAACAAAAAAAAAATTATGGTTGTTTGAACTGTTTATATTAGTAAAAATACAAAAGAAAAATATCTTCATATGCTTTTATTTTGCTTAGCCATCTAAGTATGTAAATCATTTCCTTCTTTAAATACGGTGTGTATTTCATCTCTGTTATGAGTAAACACTTTTATGGAAACTGCTGCTGTTATCAAGTGCCTGATAAGGTAGCCTTAAGTTAAAATTGTGTTTTCATTTTGCTTCTGAGGGTTTACATCAGCTTGGATCCAATCAGAAGAGAGAAGTCCCACCATAATTTGAACAGGGAAAGTTCAATGTAAGAATTGTTAACTATAACAGGGGATTGATGTAATCAGAGATTGACTAGTAAGAAATAAAGAGAACTCCAAGAAGTACAGGATATAAGGAGCAGTTTAGATAGAGCAACCAAAGGAGAGCACCCCTGCTCCCCAGGACTGAGATGCAGAATTTACTGAAGGCTTGTGCCTCTCCAGGGTCCTGGAGGAATCTGTTCAAGAAGGTGTCTCACCAGGAGCACTCCACTACAAAACTGCCTGAGGGGTTGCTGGGAGACCCGCTGTGGCTGTGTGCTGCTGGCCACTGTGCTCTACAGGAGTTGAGTACTGAGGAGGCCTGGTGGGCTAGGGGCTGGACACTGGAGAGGCTGCCCATGCTGCAGAAGCTGGTAACTGGGGGAAGCCTCCTTTGCTGAGCAGCTGGATTCTGAGGAGCCTGCCAAGTAAACACACTGGACTCTTTTCCTGCAGTGTCTCTCCAGCCCCCTCTACTGACATCCTGTCAGCTATAAAGGAAAAATACTTAAAGGTCCCAGATCCATTTTTATAGAGGAGGCATAAAGTATGAATTTGAAGCTGAGCCAAAAAAAATTGATCACTGCAGAATTATATTTTTGATCTTCCAAGGTGTTCATTAATACCATGAATTTAATACCAATATAGTTTCTTAACAAAGAGCTATATCATAATGGTGAGGCTCATTCTATGATGGACATTGAATACTAATCGATTTACAGATAC